AGTCTAAGCCTATAGCAGCATTACTATAGAAATAGCTTATTGACCAATGACACCCTAATGACGAAAAGATCAATCTTTAAAGGCCGATGGGCAAAATGACATACCACATTGTAAATAGATCTATTTTACAGATTTTATCCATTTCCTTTCACTTCACATCTATCCACCTCTCACATACTGCAAATAATATTGGAGTATATGTGATGTGGACAAAAAATGCATAGTTTCTCTGGCAGGCAGTGGTCTCTGTTCCATTCCATATTTATTCATTTAATAGACCTTCCTGCTGGGAAAACTTTGCTGCTTTGACAGCAGTGCATTAAAACAAACTTTAATGCATATGCACTTGCCTTTCCATTTGTTACTGTGTGCTTCAGCATCTGTCTTTGCTTTTTTCTAAGACAACATTGCAATTTGCTGCTGTAAACTTTCTAAAAAAAAAAAAAAAAAAAGCAAACACATGACGTTAGCTGCGGCAGGGTTTGTTATTAATTTCAGGGTTTTAAAGCGTAGTTCTTTCACTTTGCATCTAATTGTATCTTTATCCAACTGGGCCAGGTAATGCTTGGTGTAATTGTCCCTCTTTAGATGATGTCCTTTTGCCCAGGGCTCCCGTCTCTAAATCTGAATGATTAAATAAATACTATGTGTTAATATGAGCCTGGAATAATTAAAGGGCAACCTTATGTGACTTGTAAAGCAGCAGAGGGAAGTCTTGTGGTGGGTAAGACTTATGGTGTGCTGTATAATTTCGAAGGCATTAAATCTCACTCAGCTCCCGCTTTGAAATTCCTTTAAATTCCTTGGCACAGAAAGTGACATCAGGGTTTTGCTGTCCAAAACTGCAACTCTGCGGGGACAATGGAAAGTCATTGTTCGTTGAATCTCAGGTTGAATGTGCAGCCAGATCTTGGTGGGTCTTGGTGAAGCTTTCAACAGATTCTGGCCTCAATGAGTTGTGTTTCACAGAGTGTGACTCAGAGTGTGTTTTTAACATCTTCTATTCCTCTAATGTACATATTGTTCATCTAATTTCTTTATGATCCGTTTGCCTAACAGTTGTCTGTGAGACTCCCAGGGTTGAGATCCTGGCAGCACGCCTTCGTCGCCTGCACCGCCTCACCTGCATGCTTGTGTCTGACAGAACCCTCAGTTATAATACTTTTTTCTGTTTGCAGGGTGATAGAGGGATGATAGGGTTAACAGGTCCTCCTGGACAAAAGGGGGAGAAGGTGTGGATCTGAAGATATGCGGGCCTCATTTTATTATACTTTCCCAGGATTAAAATGTCATGGACTGGTAGTAATTACACTGTTTGTGTTTTTTCCAGGGTACCGGTGGTGTGCCTGGTATTGATGGTCTAACTGGTGACAAAGGAGACAAAGTAAGGTGGAGAATGTGTTAAAGCTGGGAAAAATTACAAAATTGTAAAAAGTCATAAAAAATTAAATAAAACATTTGTATGTTTGTTTGCTTTTTGCATTCAGGGAGAAGCAGGCAGACCTGGAGCTGCAGGGTTACCAGGTCCATCTGGACAGAAGGTAGGTTATCATTGGCTGAGGCATTTAATTAGCAACTTTCTTTGAATATATGCCCCACCATATGGGAACTTAGTACGGTGGAGTATTAGGGCCAGGCTTTTTTTTTATTTCAAGAATAAAGTCGTAAAATTATGAGAATAAAGTTGTAATATTATGAGAATGAAGTTATCATACCTGTTTCAGAAAGAAAGCTTTGAGATAAGACCACCATATGACAGCCAACCAGCTCCACCAAACAGCAACCTGAGTCCTCTTTGACATCCTGCCCAATGTGATGCTGGTGCTAAAAGATTTCCTTATTTATCAAACCAGAGCCAAAGTATAACTTCACATGTAGGAAGACAATGCTTCTTGTAGGAGCTGTCATAAAATACAACTTGTTTATTGTAATTATAGGACTTTATTCTCTTAATATTATGACTTTATTCTCGTCATTTTATGACTATTCTTGTTGTGACTTTTTTTCTCCTATACTACAACTTTGTTCTGGTAATTTTACGACTTTATTCTCATAATTTTACAACTTTATTCTCATAATTTTACTACTTTATTCTCACAATGTTACCAGTTGATTCTCGTAATTGGCCGTAATTGGCCCTAATACTCGTACATACATAACTTAGTATATCAGCACTGAAATTAATCTTTTAGACAACGAAAAATGGTCAGTGTGCATCATAAAAAATAAAACAGATTCATGCATTTGGACACTCCAAATCAATCCGTAGTCGTGGGATTTTAATAGTAATTCCAGAACTCTCTATTTCTGCCTCTTTTGGTTTGTCTAATTTTAATGTCTAACCGAAGCAAACCTTGATGTTTTTGTGGTCGGATGTTGAACTTCATCCAGAAGAATTAAGAGTTGATAAAGAAACCTTCTACAAAACATACTCTGAGTTACAGGTGTTTTTCTAAGAATGGTGTGTCCTTCTTTTAGCCTTTCAAGATGCTTATATTAGGACCAAATAAATTTTTTATTAACAAAATGTTATCATCAATTTAATACATTCGTCTCTTAACAGCAAAAGACTATGGAGTGATTTTTTTTCCTTATTGTGTCAACCAAAAATTACGTTTTGTTGTTAGAAATTTGGAAAAACCCGAAAATGCAAATACCAGAAACATCAGTTTTTTTTCCAATTTAATTTCTTTAAATAATAAAGAAAAAAAATGGAGGACAGTTCCTTTGTTAATTCAACATCAACATTTTACTTTAGATCTGAAGAAAATGACACATATTAATAAAGTAATCAGTGTTAAGCATTTACATGTATTCAGGTCAGTGAAAGCACAAAATTCAGAAAAATTCAAAGTTTTATTCCATTTAATTTTCTTTTGTTACTTACTGCTTTGAATATTTGATTAAATTTAGTAAAACACTCCTTCTGTACAGCTACATCTATGTCATCACTTTTTAAAGCAGAGTGAATTCATAGTTTGACTGATTCTCTTTCAAATATATTCACAGACGTTTAAACTTTTCCTATTTTGACTGTAAGCTTCATTTAAACCTAATGTTTTTTTAAGGCATCATGCAATAGACCAACAGAAAGCTGTGAGACCAGCTGACTGTGGTGATACTTTCTCCTTCTGCGGGGACAGAAGACAATTAAAGCAAAGAATTGGCCGGTCCAGGAAGACAAACATGTCATAGACTTTAAATAACTTTAGACTTGGGAAGAGGCTTGTCTGCAAAAAGTAAAAAAAAAAAATAGAGTTCAATGAATTCTAATGAAAGCAAAAACGATGTCTTTGAATTGACAGATTTGTTTTGTAACTGAGTACATTTATTTTTTAGAATAGTTTTTTTTTTAAATCAAGGCTTTTAATTTTTTGTTACATTTAAAGGAGCAGTAAGTAAAATTTTACCACCAGTTGCTCTGCTGAGCACTTACCAAAACAGAACTACATTTTAATACACTCCTGATCAAAATCTTAAGACCAGTTTTTTTTTTTAGCTATGGTCTTAACCTTTTGATCAGCTGAAAAAATAATGTTTGAGTGTAAATGCAGTTCTCAGAAAATTTCCTGCTCAAAAGTTCTTGTCTCTTGCACTGATTTTTTCCTTTAACATTGTGAAGCTCTACTTTGAACCTTCTTAAGATCCAATAGTGCAAAATGCAAATTCTTGCAATTTTTTGACTGGTCTTAAGATTTCAGAAAACCTGAACACCAAAAAAGGCTCAGAAATGGTTCCTAATT